TATCCTAGAAAATGATGCTCTCTTGGAGCATACTCTGGGGTGAACACAATGTCTTCTTAGTGTTGGGGAGAAGGAGGAAGAGATGCTTGTGTTTCACACTCTAACCTTGTCAGAACTGTCAGTGTTTCTCCTGCACCCTCCTGTAAATGAAAGGAAGGTGCATGGTGTTCTAAGAACTAAAGAAAGGTCCACCCCAGCAGTCTGGAGCTGCTGAAATATTTTAAGATACTAGGTTTGTTGTCTGTCACAGCCCAGGGCTATCATTAGCTGAGCTCTGGATGCTCTTCCAAAGAGGCTGAAAGGGAAAACCCTCCAGGAACTGCAGCAGAACAAACTCCCATCCAACAACAACAGCTCCTGGCGTGCAGCTACAGAGCTCTGTACCCCAGGGCAAGTGCTCCAGCAGTTTGCACTTCCATGTTTGAGTCTGTGCCTCAGCTACAGCTGACCAAATATCTTCATTACAGAGGGAGAGGCTGCAGAGACTAACCAAGAAACCCAGCTGGGAGTTCAGCTTCTCTCTTTATTTAGTTGTAATCACAACTCCAGCTCAGATTAACATGAAGCTGGCAGGAAAATATAGCTCTGAACACAATAACCCAGGAAGGGCTTATAGGCAGAATATGTCAGAGGAATCCATGCAGCAGTCTTCCAGGTGAACTTCTGCCTGCCTGGGAAAACTGAGGGAACTGTATTCTAGAACAATCTCATGGACAAGCCCATGAAACATCTCTACCTCTGAAACCTGTCACACAGTAATAAATTAAATTGAGAGGGCTGAAGGCAATCTTCCTGCCCTCTGCCATCTGCCCACCTGGTTCCTCTCCTTCTGTAGGAAGAGCAGATAAATCCCACCCATATCTGCTCCTGAACTGTTGGAATTTACAGCCTGGCAGGGCTTTAAGTGCAAGGTGCTGGATGAGCCAGCCCAGCTCTGGAGTGCAGAGGCAGGTTCCCTGCAGCTGTCCCTGCTGCCTCTGCTTCACAAGTTTGTGCAGTAGGACTGTAACTTACTCCTGATTTAAATTGCTGTCATGTCACACTTCAACACCACCAGTTGATACTTGGCAGTCTGACTTACAGCGTGGCTGGATTGCACCTCCTCACTCAAATACTGTGTGGAGAAACTGCAAAGTGCTGAGGCTCTGCTCAAAGATGGATGCAGCAAGAATGATCAGGATAAAGAGGGAGGCTGAAGTGAGAACCCAGCTTTCATTCCAAGGAGAGCTCAGGCATTTCTCATGTATCCTGCACTGAGATTTATAAATGCTTCTGTTTCTCTGGCACACTGGCCTCTGGGGAAAAAGGCTTCTCAATTAAATTAAAGCCAACAAATGTGGAGGTAACAGAAGACACATTAGTCTGGATGCCTGCCTCCTGTTTGCTCATCCTGGTGTTTGGATGGGCACAGCACCAGTTGGCTGTTCCCTTACAGAATGATTAAATAATCCAACATCTGGCTCCTTTCTGAGTGTCAATACCTGCACAGGTCCAAGCTGAACCTTCCAAACAGAATGAAATTTGCAGGCTTCAGAGATTCTTAAGTGCAGATTCCAGGGAAATTGATTCTGTGCCTTGAAGGCAGATAAATGGAGTGTCTTGGGGAATTGCTGGCAGCAGGCTGTCTGTGGGGATGACAGGCTCTGTCACTTACTCCTACTGTGTCCTTGTACAGCTCACCACTCAAAATAGCAGCACTAGGCCTGCTCAGCTGGCTGTGAAGTGCTGGACTGAGGCTGGAGGTGCTCTGGGAAGGGAACAGCTCACCTTCTCCTCTGGTCAGTGCTGGCTCTGGGGAATGCATGCAGGATGTGTGGTGATGCTAACCCCGCACTTGAAGCCATCCATTCCCTGGCTAAAATTTTCCAAGCAACCTCAGCCACTTCAAGGAAGTGTTTTGTGTTTTACAAAACCCATCTTCACATTAGCTACCGCTTGAATTGTGAGCAGGAAAGATCTTGATTTGTACATAAACTCCCTGGAGTGCTGAGAAGGCTCCAATACCCGCAGAGGGATCCACTCCAGCAGAAGCCAGCTCCACCAGAACGCTGCCAGAGCACAGGAGCTGCCAGACACCCAGACCTGGATGGCCTCAGGCAGCTGCAGGCAGCAGATGCTGCTCCCTGGGAGGTGGGGGAACACCTGCCCGGGGGTGCTTGGAGCTGTGAGATGAATTGGGACTCTCCTAAGCAGGCTCTCGCTGTGCCTGTCAGGGTACAGTGTATTTATCCAAGCTGCAAACTCATTTCATCACCTCCCCTGCCAGGGCAAGAGGTAGAGGGATTAACTTGAACTCTGATCATATAATAACAACATGGCAGCTGTAGGCAGCTAATAATCCACTGTGAGGATTAGCAAACTTAAAGTTGTCTAGCTCTGCATAATGGAAAGCTAAGAACAGCAGCTTCCCTGTTCTACCTACTGCATTTGCATTCTCTCCAGTGGAAGCATAGAACATGATGAGACAAGGCTTTCCAGTCTGTTATGAAATGGGATCTAAAGTGTGACTAATGGAGTATTGCTAGCAATTCTACAAGCATCCATTCAGCCCAGAATATGGATTTAAGCTTTACTAAGAGACTGCACCTCAAATGCCTGCTGAAGAGCAGGTCACAGTTTCAGCAGGCTGATGTTAAACTTGTTATTTGAGGCTCTCTGGGAGTAAATGTCCTGAAGTCTGCAGGCACACTGCTCTGCTTACACATGGACAATCCCACTGATCCAGAATCCCTGGTGTAATTCACTGGCAAAAGAGCCCAGTACAAAACACAGAATGTGCCAAGGAGCAGAGTTGTCACCTGGTGCTGCTGCTCTCCTCAGGACCCTCCCAGGACATCTGGAGTCCTCGGCAGCTGGAGGCTTTTCCCCCAAGGCAGTTTTGGCTTGTATCAATTTACTGATGAGTAACCAGAGTAAGCAGCTCTGACACAGCCTGGAAAAGAGAGCTGTGACTCCTCATCCTCCTCCCTGCTCGCGCTGGAGCAGCACCAGCGGTGAGGAAGAGCCCTCTGAGCCATGGGCTGGCTCCATCAGCACCAGGATGGCTCCCACTCCTCCCATGACACAGGGAGCACAGGGAATGCTCTGCTGGGGATTGTACTGCACCACTTTTCTCTTCTGCTCCAGTGGAGAATTCCAGAGGAACACTGGAGTGCACAAAGGATGAAAGCTTCACCACGACATGCCCTGCCAACACTTGGCAGGGCTGTGGGACCTTACTCACTCTTGCACTGCAAACAGGCACTGCCACTCACAATAACACAGGAACAAAATACTCATTTCCCCCAAGAGCTTCTTCCACTGTTTCCTCCCAGTTGTAACTGGTGCTGCTGAGAGTCCATGGGAAAAAACTCTAGTGCAGACAAGGTCTCTGCATGCAAATGAATGCTACATAAATAACCCCCATCTTCCCTCAGTTCCTAGGTTGGGTACTCTGTGCACCAGAATTCTCTTCAAAGACCTCCCAGTTCATTCTTTATGCTCTAATTAAGGATCAGTGCCAATTAACTATCTTCAATAGAGGAGCATCTTCCGCTCAGCAGCCAGGAAGTGTCTGAATAAGATCCTGCTGTACAATGTGCACATGAAAAGGGAAGCCCTCCCTTTTTGGAATGGGCTTCCAAGATTAAAAACTCAGTATAGATTACTGGATGCCTACTTTAAAAATCCTGTGTGACAAGATTAAGTGACAGCACCCAGGAATGCAGAATGGTTTTTTTACATGTTTCTTGTGGTACTCAAGCATGCTGTTGCACTGCCAAGGCTCTGAGCTAGGTACCACTGTGGCAATAGCAGGTGTGAAAACAGAATGTGACACTTTAAGTGATGTTAAAATACTGATTGCCTTTTCTTACAAGGGTGTCGTAGATCAGCAGAAGTGCAATGTCAAATCTGATGATAAATATTGATTGAGATGAAAAATTGCCAATAATTATGCCAGCACCTAAACTGCCCTTGTAGTCCTCACCTATTGCTTTTATTTCCTACAGATACTCACCTGATCCATAAATAACCAGGCAATTTAGACTGCTGCTGAACTGTGTTCTGAGCAAGAGCTGTGCTAATAGTCTGAGCAGGCAAAGGGAGGGGAATGTCATTTCTAAGCCTGGCTGGAGATGAATACATCAGCTCCCCAGCCAGTTACAGGCTAAGTTTAAAAAACACTATTCTAAAGGAAAATTAGATGGTTAAACACTGTGGGGGAAGGGGGGGAAATAGGATAATCCCTTCAAAGCTTTAAATGGAAGATTCTCAAACTTGCTTCAGCTGATGTGAGACACATGAACAGCCTCAGAATTAAGACCCCTGCAAAACTTCAGCCAGACACAACAGCTGCACTGCCTTTTGGGGGAGATGCACTTGAACTGGTTATACACGAAGCAGATGTAAGCCACCCAACCCTGCTAATCACAGCTAAATCTGGGGACCATTCACAGGCTGCTCTGCAGAATGAAGGGGCAGAGCAGGAAGAGAGCAGCCTTGGTGATGAGAAACAGGAACTGTAAAACTGTACTGGAGCATGGGGAAAGCAGCAAATTATTCTAGGAGCAGCAGAATCCACAAAGTCTAGTCAGATGGGATTTACATCAATCACACCTGTCAGGGCACTAATATTTCAATATATAACACAATATATTTGGAACTGTCAAGGAACTCAAGTGCTTTTGGGAAGCACATTGTGCCCAGCTTATTCTTCACGCACACAAAATTCCAAACAGGCTAAATAAATCTCTTAGGTTCAAGAAGAAGCCCCATGACTGCTCAGCACAGGAGAGGGGGTAACATTTGAGTGTTGATAACAGATCTCTGCACAGAGCACAGGATGGGCCTATGCTAAATGCCTTGGGAATTTCTGGAGAAGCTCGCTGCAAACCTGATTGGGCTGAGATTTGAGCTTCAGATAGGAAGAGCTGGAGGGAATGTGGAACAGTAGATTGCAACCAAGTTGCTCCAGGGAATGTAAGCTTTAACTGCGTGGGGCTCAGCCCTTCTGAACTTACCCGGATCCTCCTCATGGCTGCCACGATCTCCACGCGGCTGTTGGGCCTGGGCACATCCAAGCTCCCGATGTACTGAAAGACACAACACGAGGTGGCTGTGCAGTAATGCACCAGTTCATGTGTGGGCTTCTTCAAAACAGACAGCGTTTCTCAGGTATTTAGTCCCTCGGACTCCTTTGACCCAGGACAGGACAGCATTATCTGCTGCAGATAATGTTATCAAGTTGGGGATTTCTGAGGTTGGGTGTGAAGCTTTGACCTCATTTGGGTTCTGGATGTGCTCTGCAGGGCAGTGTCTGCTGCTAATTGAGTCATGATCCCATGTGTCTGAAAATGGGACTGCTTTGTTCCTCCTTACTACACCTGTTCAAGACTGAAAGCACCTAAGAGCTGTAAAGCTTCCAGGAAACACCTTTCCTGGAAAAGCCCTGTGATTGTAGCTTAAGTTTTCAGTCTGGACCATGCTACCTCTTGGCACTGCTGTCCCTGCTTGGCTGGACCAGCTCAGCTGTCAGCAGAATCCTGGTAAACCCACCCAAATCTGTGTCCTACAACCCTGCTTAGGGGAGCTGCAGCTCTAACCAAAGTGCTTGGGGTTGAGTGTCTGCATTCCAGTGTCTGTGCAGTCCTAGCAGGGTCTGGGGTCTGAGACATGGCACATGGCAGGTGCCCATCCCCTCCACCTCTAGCCCTGCACCACAGCTACAGCTCCTCGAGCTGGCTGCCTGAAAGGAATGGCAGCACCGTCCATGCTCCACAGGTTATCATGGAACACCCACGGGCAGCTTCCTGCTGCTGGATTTCTCCCTCCTGCGCTGCCTGTTCTCTCCCCTGGTGTGCCAAAGCAGAACCTGCTTGTTCCCACTTTGGCAGGAGGCAGCAGCCGCTGCCTGGTGGCACTGGTGACAGCACACGTGGCACCACGGCTGCACAGGAGTGCCAAGGGGAGGAGGCACAGAGCTGCCAGCTCAGCCCTGGGAATGAGGAAACGTGTGGTGTCCTGGGCAGTCACACTGCGTGGGGAGCAAAGGCTGCTGATGCTGTCAAGTGCTGTGGCTCAGCTCTGAGGGAAGACCTGCACGCCCAGGGAGGACAGGGAGAGTGTCACTGAGGGAGAGGATGATGACAGCATGTGCTGGGAGTGGCCCTGGCAGCTGAGGGCAGCTGCTGGACTTGGTGCTGCTGGGGCCAGTGGGGTCCATCAGCTCCCTCAGGGTAACACAGCCCATCTCTGCTGTTAGTGTGGGGACTCAGGGTGGTTCACAGAGTTTAGTGACTCTCCCAGGAGCATTTGGTTCATGAACTGTGTCTGGGTTTTAGTGTGTGGTTACAAACTGTTGGTTTTTTGGAAGTTGTTCCCTCGTGGAGAGGAAAACGAGCAGCTAATCAGGAGGCCCCTGCAAACATTCAGGGTGATATTATATATATGAACAGAGACAAAATAATTCCCCAGAACAGCCCCATAGGTATTGCTGTTACTGACACAGTTCTGGATTTATTTCTCCACTGTACTACTTGCAGGTTGCAATGGGTTTTATCTTGTAAAATGTCTGCTTAAAAGGGCTTTCAGAGATGAGCTCTCCTGGCTTAGTCTTTAGTGCTCTTTCTCCTGCTTTGAAATAAACACCACAAGCAATCTGAAAGGTCATCTGGCTTTGCTGCTGCTTCTGTTAATGCCTTTGCAAAATGGCATTTTTAAGAGCAGTTAAGTTCATCTATAGCCTTTGGTAAACCACAGGAGAACCAAGCTCAGAGCACGAGAGCTTGAGGGCAGCAGGGAGGGGAGCAGCAGAGCCAGGGCTTCCCTCTGGGCTGGTGGGGAGGGCAGAGCTGTACTGCTGGGATCTGTGGCCTCTTTGGTGTGCAGATCTCCTTCCCTGCCTCTCTGCCTGTCAGGACAGTCACTGCTAATCCAGATGAGCTCCTTGCAGCTGGCTGGCCTTTTGTCTGCCAGCAGCAGAGCTGCAGTGGGGAACAGGCCATGCTCCTAATGACAAATTAATTGGGGCAAGAGGACAGCTGGGACTGCTGAGCTAGAGGAGATTCTTTCAAACTCCCTGCTCTGGTCTGGCTGCAGAGTTTTGGGTACCTGTCCTGCCACATGAAACTCATGAAACAGCACACAAAGCTCTGCCCAAACAAGCAGCTCCCAGTACTGACCTCCTGAAGATTATAGGGGGAGGAAGGCAGCTTGGAATGTGGAGATTAGAGAGGCAGTGTGGTCAGTAAGATTGCCTGGTGTGAGACACCTGCAGCCAGCTGCAGCCTTGTCATTGTCAGCGTCGCAGCTGACTGATGTGCCCACAATGAGCAGCATAATTGGAAGAGACAGACTGTAAAGCAGAACTGAGCAAGCATGTAACCAAGGTAATGCAAACCCCATCCCAGACCCACACATCCCAACAGGGTGTTATCCACTCGCCAGCTCTGGATGCCTGGAGCTGTCAATCTGAAAAGCCAGTTTCACTCAGTTAAAGGTACAGTTGCTACCCAGCTTTTAAAAATCAAATTAAGCATTTTTTTTTCTCCTCAGCACAGTCTGCAGCACAGCAAATGCTAATTTAAATAGGGAAATCACAGATTAAATGTTTTCTTCCCTAAGGAAGATAAATTTTTTAAAATACATGATTAACTGTCTATTCAGATTCATCCTGTATCCTGCTTAAATCTTACAGCTCTTTCAGCAGGAAAACCAGGAGGCACAAAATCCGTATTTCAAAGCTTTATTGGAATGTATATGCCCCTTCTTTCCAGCTCAGGAGACAGCAGGCGTGAATTCCATTTCTAATCTGTGTTAGGCCACCTGCAAAGAGGGGAAGGGAGCCTGTGAGTTGCTCCAGCAAAATGCAATTCTTCTTGTCAGCTGAATTATAAACCCATTCCCCATGCTGTCTACAGAATGCCAATTCCAATGGAGTCACTTTCTGAGAGTGCTGCTGTGCTGCCAGGCTGTTCTTCACGATCGATACGGAATTTCTGACAATATCAGTATTTCTTTCTGATGCCTGAAGGCTGCAGACCTTTGTCCAGCTTTTCATGCAGCGAAGGGGTCAGCTGGAGTAAGGCACTATTATTTGAGCAGCACATAGCAGTCTGCTTGTTTCCAGGGGAATAGGGAGCTGTCACCCCGCCGTGCAGGACGGGACAGGCACTGGATCAGACAGGGATGAGCACCTGGGACAGCATCCACGGCGCTGTCAAGAGGGGTCATTCCAGAGCAGCTCCCAAATGCAGCACGCAAGGCAGCGTCTGAGGATTACACAGCTGCAAAAACACTAGGAAAAGAGCAAGAACCTGTTTGATTGCGCTAATTAAATGTAAGGCTTTCATAACTGATTGCTGCTTTCTTTAGACTCCCTCAGCGTGGCCCAGGGCCACTTCCAGAGCTGAAGAATAACCGTGGCAGGGCTGGGGGGGGGCACGGCGAGCCCGGCCTCGGCCCTCGGGGCCAGCTCCGGAGCCCAGCCCGCGGGGACCCCGAGCCGCAGAGAGCCGCAGCCCCCTGTGTGCAGCAGCCAAAGCGGGGGAACCTGCCGGGGCTCCGCTGCCAGGGCCCCGAGCGCGGGGCCCGCGGGGCTGGGGCAGGCGGGGCCCGCTGAGCCCCCCGGCCCGGGGGCTGCGGAGGGGAGCGCGCCCGGGGCTCACCTTGGCCTGGAAGTGGATGCCGTGCTGAAAGGCCTCCTCGTTGTGCAGCGGGACGCGGGAGTCGCAGCCATCGTCCACCAGGTTGTACCGGTTCTTCACCGGCATGGCGGCGGGCGGGCGGCCGCCTCAGCCCGCGGCCCCGCCGGGCATCGCGGCCGGCAGCGCCCGCCCCGCCGAGCCCCGGGCGCCGTGAGGGGCTGCGGGCACCCGAGCCCGGCCGCGTTTTGAATGAGCGTCCGCGGGAGCGAGCGGGGCCCCGGCCCCGGCGCGGCGCCATTGGCCCGAAGTTGCCTCATGTGATGCGGGGGGCGGTGGAGCCGCCCGGCCCTGCCCGGCCGCCCCGCCCCGGCCCCGCCGCGGAGCCGCCGCCGCGACCGGCTGGAGCGCTCGGGATGCTCCGCTGGACGGGAGGGTCATGAGGGGTCTGGAGCATCTCGGTTATGGGGGGACGCTGCGGGAGCTGGGCCTGGTTAGTCTGAGAAGACTGAGAGGGGATCCCATCAATGCTTACAAATATCTCCAATGGCTGTCCTGAAGGAGTGGTCACCTACGTTATGTATGTCTCGTGTCAGTGTGACTTACAGCTCTGGTAGAAATTAGCACACGCCCTCTCTCAGAGTCCAGACGCACAGTCGATGCCCACTGTGTCGCTCGGTACTCTCAGGATTTGTGGCACCCCGTGTGCTCACGGTGTTCTTTCCTCCCAGGTCCCAGATGCCGCTCTGGGACACCTGGCACACCTGAGCGTGACATTCCCCAGCGGGCACCAGCACAGGGAAGGGATGAGACGTGCACAGCTGTGATGGCAAGGCTCAAGGTTTGTCTTCTGACTCTTATTACAGCCACACTCCATTTACAGGGATGGTCAGAAATGTGAATTGTGTAGAATCCAAAGGGTGGAGGGTTACATGTGCACCAGTGGATCTCATCTGGGTTCCCCCAAATTAATTTTTGATTCTTAAAAGTAACTCCCAGCCATGTGTTTGAATGTTTTTGGACACCACCTTTTATGTGGCTTTTGCATTACCAAGAAAGAAAAGTTTGACCACGGACAGACAGTGCACAGTTCCCAGTATCCATCTCAGGAGCATGATCACCCTGAGCTTCTTGGCATTTCTGAGTACTTGTAAGTCAGTGGGAGATGGGCAAGAGCCAAGAATCCAGAAACTTATAATTAAGAGAGGGAGAAAAAGCCCAAGGAATTAATATTGGTTCACAGACTATGACCCTACATGCTCAAGTATTTTGAGGTATTAGCAGCTCTTTCTGGGGAGGGTTCTGTGGTCAGCCTTCTGTCTTTGTGAAGTTTTTCTGTTTCCAGACAGATATCTTTTCTTCCAATCTATAGCACTGCATTGCCTTCTCATTTAAATATTCACAAGTTTATGCTAATCCCACTTTTATACAGCATAACTCAATATGGGTTTTGTCAGTTGGTTTCTGTCCAAGATGCTCCTCTAGATACACATCTCGCCTGCAGATGCATCGGTTCCGTTCTTTGTTGGTGATTTTTTTTTGTGTGGTCTGTGCTAATGTTTAGTGTGTACTTAGAACATTTCATGGCACTTTTCTTGTACGTATCTTGACCAAAAAAATATCTGTTGACCGGAGTGAATAACCTTGGTTTTGTGTGCAAATGTCCTTGGACTGATTGAGCAACATTCAGGTCTTTGGTTCTCCTAAGCCCAAGGAGGAGGAGATGCCACCCAGTCAGGCTATGCTCATGCTTCCTTTGATGCTAACGCCAGCAAAGCTCAACTCATATGGGGAAAAACCTAACACAGCCACTGGTGAGTCTCTGCATTGATTCTGCAATACTGCATTTCAGCTGAGGCATGCAGGAACCTGCCATCGTGCTGAGCTGCTCAAAGCTTCTCCTCATTACCCTCCCATTGCCACAAGAGCATTCCTATGTACGTGGGAGCATATGGACTTCACTTGGGATAGTTAAATTTTTAAATCTGATAGAAAGAACAGGTTGAAATAACGAGAATGGTCTTTTTAATTCCATTCTGGTGCTTTCCAGTATCCCGCAGATTATAAAATCCTTTGGGTAGGAGGAAAGAAATATCTCATGGGAATCCTGAGAAAAAGAAAGCAACTGTTATTTAATAAAGCTTGCAGTGCCAGTTTCTGTTAGATCACAATTGAATGGAGGTGTTTAATACTCCCTGTTCATGAACTTCTGTGAACTTTTCATAGGGCTTAAATCTCCTGAGGTTAATGGTTTGGATCTGTGTTCGAGAATTGAGTTTGAAGGCTGCTAAACTTAAAAAGTCATTAATTTTCTAGTTTGTTTGTTGGGCAAAGAAAATTCTTTGACTCCACTGGAAGCAAGAAAGCTGTATGCCTTTTCTTCTGGACAATGAAACTGGGCAAATATGTGGAATGAAGCATTTACACAGGACATCGTCACGGATTTAGTATAAACAAACCCTGAGTAGCATTGAACAGTGGGCCAAACCTCATGGTGGGTGTCTGCATCACATGGAGGTACTGAGAGAGTTATTCCTTTGATGTGCAAAGCACTCACAGAAAGTCCTGATTCTCTGAACACAGTAGGAGTGAAGCCCCAAGACAGCTTCTTGGCTCGGAGCTGCAAGTGTTTTTGCAGGGACCAGGTTTGTATCAGCTCGCTTTCTCGGGCACAGGCTCCCAAGATTTCCTTCTCTTTTTTTCTCTCACATGGGTGCACATTCCTGCCTGCCCCAGACTCTGCATGGAAGTCCCTCTTCTTACATAGCTTCATCTTTTGAAGAGACCCTGAACGTGGTGTAAATGGGGGGTGGGTGTTACATGCAGGGTGTGCTTTAATCGGCTCCTTGGTTGGTTTGTAGGGAAGGGAGCTTTGCTCCTGTCTGATCCTGTCAGATTTTTCCAAACCCACCTTCATAGATAAAGGAGGAGACCTGGTCTTGACACCATGGAATTTTCCTCCTTTCTGCTAACCCTTATTTCTGCACAGCAGAGTTGCGGAGATTTTGAATGACAAATAAGATGTGACATAGGAAGAGCAACCAGACAGACATCCAGTAAAGGCAGACAAAACTTCTTTTACAGGAGAGCACTTCCATATCACACACAAGAGCTGTGAGGTCTGTGCCTGCTTGCTGTCTTAGGAGATCTGGGTTTGTCGTGCCACTTTATCAACATTATTAATATGTACTTCTGCTGGTGCAATTTTTAGAGCAAAGCCTCCAGTGCACTAACGCACCAGGAGACTTCCTAGAAATGCTGCTGTGGGATGAAATGTGGGGGCAAGAACAGATAAACCAGCTGCTGTTGACTAAGTTGTGTGATGTTACTCCCTGATGCATTGGGGATTTCAGGAATACCGAGAAAACTCCTAAACAAAATCTTTGAGTCTCCTGAGCTGCCCCATGGAGGGAAATCAGAGATGGCATGTGGAACTCATGGTTTCAGCCCCCTCAGCGAGTGTCCTACGTGTCCTCCGCGAGCGCAGGGGCTGCTTGGTGAGATGGTTGCACCAGATTTGTGTTGCTCACAAGAAACAGAAGCTCGATGTCTCGGCGGTTCAGCTCCGCAGTGCGGCCAGGCAATCTGCCCGTCAGGGCTGCAAGCCTCCTTCATGCATGGCCAGCTCCAAAGGCTGTGCAGCAGGACTTGGCAACAAAAAATGTCATCTACAATTATGCATATTTTCATCATCTTCTATCATGCAAATCCCCCCACCCCAAATATGCAGCAAATGTTTTGTTTGCGTATGTAGGTCAACCACAAATCTGCTGTGGTCAAACATAAACATGGGCAGCACGGAGTGATGTATATGGATTTAAATCCAGGCTGAAGCATAAGCCCACCACGGACGTTTTCCAAGTGGGGTCTGTTTGCTAGATTTGTTTTCTTCTGACTTTTCATTTTATAGAGCATTGCTTTCTCATGGATTTGTGAAAGAACAACTGACAGGAGATACCATCGTTGCAAGAGGAACTATTAACTTCAGACACAGATGGATAGTTCTTCATGAGTAACTTTTTTTTTTCTTTTAACAATAGCTTAAGGAATGTGTTCTTTTTCAAAAGGGTACACTGAAGTATTTCTGCAAATTTGCATTTGGCAGGAGGCCAGTTTTATATGATATTTTAAAAAGATGGTATGTTCTTTTTGCAAATTACATGCTACTTTGTTTTTCTTATCTTGGCTGTCTTTAAAAAAGAAAAGTATAGAAAAAAAGTTACTGCCCTTATGATCCTACATAAAAGCTAAAAATGTTGATCCCAACTTGGAAACAAAAATGCTTACTAGAAGAAGGGAAATATATTAGTAGAGAAAAATGTTACTAAGTAAAATGATAACCTCATAAGCTTGACATGTTCACATGCCCAACTCATGAATTCCACGTGCCACAGGTTGGCAGCACAGCCCCCGGTGTGAGCTGTGGGATCAGCATGGTGTCATGATGGAAAACTGTTCAGTTTGCTGCATCTGTAAAACTGCTTTATTCCTGGACTCCTCTTGGACCTGGCACTTACCTGTGCACACCCAGACATCAGGTAAGTGATGGTTTTGGGTAAATGAGAGTGAAGATGTTAGTCTGAGAGATGAGTAAAATGCTGTACAATCAAACAGGATCCTTCCCCACTCCCATTAAATTAGGCCAGTACCTCTGCTGTCTTTGATATCCTGAATTTAATTAATGAGAGCATAGGGACATTACAGTTCTCCTGGATGGAATCCACATTCTAGTTCACTTATTATCAGAAGATAGTAACAATCTGTTCTTATCAACAGCTCCCTCTGAGCATGGGTCTGAGGAAACAGCCTTGTGTTTAAGAGCACCTCGTAACCAAACTTCCCCTCTCCTCACAGGGGACAGATGATCTCAAGTTTCTCATTTCTCTCCTGCTGCTAGACCCAGCTTGCTGTATTCAGCAGGAGTCTCCTTCTGCATTGCCCTGTGCCTCAGTGCTGCCCAAGCCATGCTTTGCTGCCCACCTTGCTGAACCTGAATGCCACGTGCAGCCTGACCCCACTGCAGCCCAACTCTGTTTATCCCAACAGGAAACGAGGGTTTTATCCACACAGCACAGGCAAACCAGGTGTGGGATCTATTACAGCTTCTCTGTAGAGGAACAACTAGTCTG